TCAGGCGGCAGGAGCTGCAAGGGCAGCAGATCACAATGCCGATCTTTATTCCCCTCTTGTTCCTGATGTAGATCTTCACTCACCTCTTCTTCCCTGGTGAGAAGGGGAGGCACTATATTGTGGTTCACCTCAGGTGCCCACATGTCTTAGGTGGCCCTGATCTCCTAGAACAATAGGATTCAGAATGCAGCAGTCTGATTGGTCCTAGAACAATGCAGCAGTATGATTGGTCTGCAGAAGCCACCCAATCCAGCTCCAGATGGAAGTGAATCCACAACCTGATTGGCCTACAGGAGAAGTCCGGAATTAGCCAATCACGTGCAGCCCATTGTGTAAATAATGTACAGTGGTACCTCGCAAGACGAATGCCTCGCAAGACAAAAAACTCGCTAGACGAAAGGGTTTTTTGTTTTTGAGCTGCTTCGCAAGACGATTTTCCCTATGGGCTTGCTTCGCAAGACGGAAACGTCTTGCAAGTTTATTTCCTTTTTCTTAACACCGTTAATACAGTTGCGACTTGACTTCGAGGAGCAACTCATAGAACACGGTGCGGTAGCCTTTTTTGAGGTTTTTAAAGACTTTGGTGATTTTTGAAGCTTTTCCAAAACTTTCCCGACACCGTGCTTCGCAAGACGAAAAAAATCGCAAGACGACAAAACTCGCGGAACGAATTAATTTCGTCTTGCGAGGCACCACTGTATATAAAGCAGATACTTTGGGAAAACTTTCATTCCTCCTCACCACTATGAGCTGAATAAAGAGCATGAAATCCACTCTCGACTCTGAGTATATTTCACTCCCAATAATGGATTTCCCTTCCATTGTGTGCCTCAGCACTGTCCTTTGGGCACCATCTGAAGACATACTTATTCATTCAGGCCTTTCTATGGTACGCTGGTTTGACATCATCTGATAGGAAGTGCCTACAGAGGGTGGTGAATACAGCACAAGATATTATGGGCTGTCCTGTGAATCCGCTGGATGAAATAGCGGAAGAACATTGCCTCAGGAGAGTGAGGAAAATTCTCAGGGTTGATTCACACCCTGGCCGGCACTTTCTTGATCTCCTGCCCTCGGGCAGAAGATATAGAAGCATGATTAGTCGCACCAACAGGGTAAAGAACAGCTTCTATCTGTGGGCTGTTAGGCTGCTGAATGAAAAGATAACAACAGGGCAACTGACTTTCGGGTTTGGTAGGTGTGTGTCAGTAAACGAGGGGAATTAAGACTAAGAGAGCTGAGTGGAGGGTGCTTGTGTAATAAGGAATGAGGCAGTGCATTTATAAAACATATCATGTAGCAGAGTCCAATAGTCATCTCCAGATAAACATGGACCTGGAAGACCCAAATAAAATGGGAGCCGGGAGTGCAGCTGCCACATGGGGGGGGGGACGACAATATTGTGTGTACGGTGAGGAAAACGGGACTAGATGATCCTCAGGGTCACTTCCAACTCTACAGTTGTAGGATTCTCTGATTCTCTGACTGCAAGTATCATAAATCGTTACGGTTTATGATACTTACAGTGTTGGTCCAGTATACCTGAAGGACCTTCTCCACCTCCATCGTTCTGCCCGGACACTGAGGTCCAGTGCCGAGGGCCTTCTGGCAGTTCCCTCGCTGTGGGAAGCCAAGTTACAAGGAACCAGGCAGAGGGACTTCTCGGCAGTGGCACCCACCCTGTGGAACGCCCTTCCACCAGATGTCAAAGAGAACAACAACTACCAGACTTTTAGAAGACATCTGAAGGCAGCCCTGTTTAGGGAAGCTTTTAATGTTTGATGCATTACTGTATTTTAATATTTTGTTGGAAGCCGCCCAGAGTGGCTGGGGAAACCCTGCCAGATGGGCGGGGTATAAATAAAAAATTATTATTATTATTATTATTATTATTATTATTATTATTATTGGCACATTGCTATTGGACATCGTGGCATAATAGGTTTTATTTTTAATTTTTTGGGTAAGATTTTATGTATTGTTGTATACCACCCAGATGAAGGGCGGCCTAGAGATATAATGATGATGATTGTACCAGCTGTATATTTATTCTGTGGTGTGTGGGGAGTTTTTTTACATCATAAATTGGTATATTTATCTTTGAAGGGAACTTCTTTGTGACATTAAGTGAATGATCATACCTCTGTTGGGGTAAAACAATACTTCTCTTCCACCTTGAATGTCAGGTCAGTTCCTTCAAGTGCCAACCTGAGGGATTAAGCTAGGAAGTACTGTTTGTTTTACAGCCCCTGACCCTAGTAAAATTAATAGACATGATGGAGGTCAGTAATGAATAGACTGCATAGGATTTATTTTGCAGAGAACATGATGGCTGGAAAAGTTATTTTATTTTATTTTAAATTAAAAGGCATACAGACCATTTTAACAAGTCTCACTTTGCACAGGAAAGCAAGTCTTACAGCAGGAGAAACAAAAAGCAGATTGAAAAAATATATACAGCAAATTTCAAAACAAGTGAAGGTATAAACTGTCAAAATACTGGGATGGACTTTATGATTAAATTAAATAAAAATAACTTGCCTTGAAAATGAAGGGGTAAATGAATAAAGGGGTTTGTTTTTATTTTAGGAAAGGGGATTACCTGAGAAACTCTGGGAGGGAGTTTCTGTCAGTGTCACCATGGCAACCATGAAGCACAAGCCCTGCATGCACTTGAATTGTGAACAGAAGCTTCAGCCAAGGCTGGAACACAATTTTGTAAACAGAAGCCAAGATGAAAGGGGCATCAACGCGCATTACAATTTGTAACATCTGAGGCCATATACATATATTAGCCCAGCACGTTTATGGGAAGACTAACTATTGGGTCATATCATGTTTCCACCCATTGTTTTTAAAATAGCGATTTTTGCAAACAAATCCTTAAAGACATGTAGGACGGAGCTCCCAGACAAAGTGCAATTTAGCAAAATCTGGCCCAAACCGTTTTTCCGGAGTGCCCTGCCACTTTTCCTGCTTCCTCCCATTAGTCTGTCAACTTCAAAGCGAAGGTGAACGGGACACTTGTTGGCAGTGGTGTAGCAAGATCAGGTGGTACCTGGCGCGGAAAATTTCTTTTCACACACACCCGTTTATTTGTTTTTGCTGAAACAAAGTTGTGGAGCTTTTTGGGGGGAGCCAGAGCTGTTGAACTTTTTTTTGTGGAGCCAGAGTTGTTGAGCCTTCGAGGAATCTGCCTGCTGCCCTACAGCTGAGGGGAAGGCAGCAGGCGGACATTTTGGCAGCGGGAAACCTGTGCGCGCCAAAACCACAGTGTCTCTCACAGACGTGGAGTGCCGCACAGGTTTTTGTCACCTCCCTCAGAGGTGACACCTGGGGTGAACAGCCCCCACTGCCCCCACCTTGTTCCGTCCCTGTGTGTTGGCATGTCACTATAGGGCAGGCTTATATAACGCGTGGCTTTCTTAAGTCAAACGTCGCCCAGCAGCCATGAATTGTGGCTTGATGAGCTCCTGCCCTGTTTACAGTAGCAGTCAGTCAGTAAGGCTGGCAGGTCAAATGAACTTTAGATGGGCCACCAGCGATGGCTGCACCCAGCAGTTGGGTCACAAGTGGTACAGTCCTGCATTAGAGGGTGCATTTTGAAGGCACTGGCTCTCCTTAGCTAGCCTTCCCGCTTCAAGTGGCTGCTCTGGATAACTAATTGCCAACCAGGGTTCTAGGCTCTGCCATGTCATGCCGTTTAGTTGATGCCTTGATGACTTCTCTTTAAGCTGTCTACCAGCTCCATCTGCTATGCCAGCCAAGACCCTCCCTGCCTACAGACTGTCTCGCCAGAGTGGTGCATGCTCTAGTTATCTCCCGCTTGGACTACTGCAATGTGCTCTACGTGGGGCTACCTTTGAAGGTGACCTGGAAACTACAATTAATCCAGAATGCGGCAGCTAGACTTGTGACTGGGAGTGGCCGCCGAGACCACGTAACATTGGTCCTGAAAGACCTACATTGGCTCCCAGTACGTTTCCGGGAACAATTCAAAGTGTTGGTGCTGACCTTTAAAGCCCTAAATGGCCTCAGCCCAGTAGACCTGAAGGAGCGTCTCCACCCCCATCGTTCTGCCCGGACACTGAGGTCCAGCTCCGAGGGCCGTCTGGCAGTTCCCTCACTGTGAGATGTGAGGTTAAAGAGAACCAGGCAGAGGGCCTTCTCGGTGGTGGTGCCTTCCCTGTGGAGACCATCCCACCAGATGTCAATGAAATCTGACTTTTGGAAGACATCTGAAGGCAGCCCTGTTTAGGGAAGCTTTTAATATTTGATGAATTCTTGTATTTTAATATTTTGCTGGAAGCCGCCCAGAGTGACTGGGGAAACCCAGCCAAATGGGTGGGGTATAAATAATAATATTTAGAATCATAGAATCATAGAATCATAGAATCATAGAATCATAGAGTTGGAAGAGACCACAAGGGCCATCGAGTCCAACCCCCTGCCAAGCAGGAAGCACCATCAGAGCATAAATATTTATTTATTTATTTATTTATTATTATTATTATTATTATTATTATTATTATTATTAGGCTCCATCTCAAAGCAGCTGTCTGGATGTATAACTGATTCCTTTGTTATTCCTTTGTTTTGGATTATACCTTTCTGCTGGAGTCAGGAATTGCAACAAATCCCATTTTTTTTCTGTGCCTGCCAAGGGAGGGGCATGGCTAAATTTAAATGCCATGTTCTTGCTGGGCTGAAGGGCTAGCAATTTGTGACTTGCCTGGATTGCTTTGGTTCTCTTCCTGACAGCTAACTCTAGATGAATCTTCATCCTCCACCACCTGTGACCCACTTTACTGTAATGGGGAGAAGATCAGCAGCCTTCCCTATTTTGGAAGCTTTCCGGTGATCTGATCAGATGATCAGCAGATAAGATTCATTTATTTGTCATCAGACCACCGCAAGAAACAAAAGTTTGACAATAGGAAAGTAACACCAATAGAAGTTAACCCAGACCCAAAGACAACCAAAACCAAACTTCAAATCTCGAGTTTCCAGGGCAGAGAACAGGCCCTTCATTTAACAAATAGTAAAATAAAAGATTAAGATGAAAGGAATTTACACAAATCTGAATAGAATTATGCAAAACCTAAATGAAGAGGAGCAGGAAGCAAACTTAAAAATCTGAATCTCCCAGACAAGAGACACATCATTCTCTCCTTTCACAGGTTACCTCTGGGTATAGGGTATAGGGTGGTATATAAATTCAATTATTATTATTAATAAAAAGAAAGAAAGAAAGAAAGAAAGAAAGAAAGAAAGAAAGAAAGAAATGTTACAACAGATGGAAAACTTGCAATCTTCACAGTGGCATATTTATCTTGTCCACTCAGTAGGTAAACCTCTCCAATTGTTTCAGATGTTGTTCTCTCAGCGCATTATACAATGGGCAGGGTTTTCTGGTGAAGCATATATAGGAACACAGGAAGCATGCTTTATATGGTGTCAGTCCCTTGGTCTATCTAGTTCCATATTGTCAACACTGACTGGCAGTGGGTCTCCAAGGTTTCAGAGAGGGAACAATCTCAACACAACCAAGAGATGTTGGGGGTTGAATCTGAGTCCTTTTGCCTGTAAAATAAATGTGCTCCCACTGAGCCACAGCAATCCAAATAGGGCAGCAGGGATAAAGTATCTTGACGTGCGCTGGGAATGCTCTTTTCTCGGAAAGGAGAGAAAAGGCTATTCCTGCTCTTCAGCCATCAAAGGGTCTTGATGATTTAGGTGACAGTATTGTGTAAAAACGAGCTGTGTGGCACCATGAAGAAATTTGGCACCGCCTTTTTCAAGATAAAATATTCCCATGTGGAGAAAAGCCATTTACACTGAAACATACTGCTCAGTGGATACACCTTTGAAAAGCAAGGACTGACTGCAAATGTGGAACAAACCATGGCAGTTCTGCTTGGCCACCAGGAATGATTTTTGCTCCTCATTCCTCCCTCCTTAAATAATAGATTTCCGAACAAGGGTGAGGCTTCTATTTCACCCCTCAGACTCAACGTGGCCTTTATAGTCACATATCAACTCTAAATATATTCCGGCTTGGATACCGCCTGCATCTCTTGCCCTTCTGTTCTTTCTCTGAAAGTCCCCAAATTTCCTGATTTTCTTCGCCTAGAGAACAAAGTAATAACAACAATAATTGAAAAATTGAAATGAATTCACAGTATAAGGGTGGTGCATACGCGCTCCTTTTTAATCTGCTAATTTATATGTCTAGACTGGGGGTGGCTAACCCTGGTCCAAGGGCCTGATCCTCTCCCGCTTGCTAATATTTTGGCCCCCCAGTGATAGTGGTGGCCAAAAGAGAGAATAAACATAGCACTGTGTGAGTGTGGAGAGGTTTAAACCACTCCACCCAACTTAGCAGCTGCTCTTGCCCCCTTGAATTCTGCAGTATGTCACTGATGCAATGATTGCAACAAATCTAATGAATCTAATGTAAAAAGAGAGTCAGGTTTAGGAGAGGATGAATTCAAACATGAATAAGAATTCATTCCCAGGAGGTCCAAATGCAGTATAAAAGGGATGCCTCCTGAATGGTTACAGCATGGGCCATGTGTACGGCATATGAGCCAAGTAGTTTTAAAGAAAGTCCAACAGAGGTCTAAGCATGCCAATATCAAATACCTGTGTTAAAGCAATGCCATGAGCAAAATTACAGAAGGGGTGTTGGAGGAATTGGACTTGGAGGAAGGGGTTAATTTTCTTCACGAGCACAGATCACCCCATGTATGAGACAAGATAACAGGTGCAAGGCCTGTCAAACCAGTTGCTATGGCAACAGCCCAGTGCCGCCTATATAAGTGATTGAGGTAAGTCAGCTCAGGATGCCGGGGTCTTGTGCTGTGTGTTGAGAAGTGAGTCAGAGTCGGTGTTACATCTTGAATTGTTGAAGCCTCAGAAATACTTTGTACTTGTGTATATATGTATCTGCGAAGCCTGCAAGCTGTATGTATATATCAATGTCTGGAAATGTATTACTGAAGCCTTATCTTCTGCAGCAGTAAACTATTTTGGACCTTAACCTGCCTCTGTGTGTGACGGGAACTGAGGGCAACTTCTGTTATGGGGGTATCTCACAACACTGTAAACTGGACCATCCATCCATCATTCCACTTTATTAGGTGTTCTCTGTAATGTTTTCCCAATTTTAATACATCAGTGTGTCTGGAGGTGCACTCTTGCACTATTGCACAGAGAAAGCAGGACATTTGTGGTATGGAAAGTTGCAGGATTCAACAGTATTGAAAGCAAGATCACATTTAACTTCCCTAATACCATTATGAGCACAAATCATAAATGCAGAATAAGAAGGACTTCAGGATACAGGGGTAGCTGTATCTTCTAAAGTCTTCTGTTATAGTCCTATTACTCACCTGGTGAGCGCAAAGTGTAACCAGGCAATTATTTGGTAGCATTTTTTGCCCATATAAATCCCATTAAGGGGTGGGGGACCCAAGAAGTCTAATACCTGAAAGCATCGCAAAGGGTGTTGCTGAAAACACAGTATATGATGGGATTGATGGCACTGTTTAAAGATGGCAAATTCTGAATAATCACTGCGGCATAGAAGCGTTCTTTGGTTTCCGGGAGGACGCTGAAGTTGTCCAGAATGTCAAAGAGAAAGTAAGGACTCCAGCAGAGTACAAAAGCTGCAAGAAATCAAGGAAATGGTTTGAAAAGTGTTCCGTTTTAATGGGGAAAGTAGCACTAGGAGATCTGGGCAAAACTGGCTTGTCTACTCTCACAAGTGTTCTGTTTTTCTCACTAAAAAAGGGGAATTGCTTTGAAATCTGGTAAACTTTTGCATGCCTATGTAGAACCAACCTGTTGAGTTCCTGCAACACCTGCTGAAATCCCATCTATTAAAGTGCAGGATCCCCATCTGTCCTGGGTCAATGGGATTCAGCTGCAAATGTACAAAGCTTTTAAAAAAATAAAAATGTAACAACTTATTTTAATGGCTGGCCATCATTAAATACTGAAAGGACTTTGCTTTCTAAGCTGCGAACCTCAAAGGTATTCCTACATCTGCCTCTGGCTTTCAAAGAAGAGAACTAAGTGTTTCTCTTTGCATAATCCTTTTGTTGCAAGTTCCCTGAGGTTCATCGGCAAAGGATCAAGAATACTGGCACAGACTTATTTGCACATCCCATCTGCAAAGAAGAAAATGCGTGGCACACCCTCCTCCTGTTATATCAGTTTGCCTGTCCCTCTGGACTAATCCAGACAAACAAAACACTGAGCGACAGCAATATAATCACATTAAACACAGATGTGTAGCCAATTAAATCATTATCAAATGCCAAGGAGCGCTTTCTCCTGCGTCCCCTTGCATTAACAGCCAGCCTAATTGAATCAATATAAATTCCAGCACCTAAGCCGGGGATTCTTCAGTTTTGCATTTGATAGCATCTCCAGAAAATGCATACTTAAGTTTGAATAAGAAAAAAGGAAGCCTAATCGCTTGGCTGATGGAGGTCACTCCTTCTGTATGCTTGCAGACAGGCAGATTAAAAAAAAGAAAAGCTTATAATGGAAATCAAAGAGCCTAATGTTTGCAGTGTATAGTTTGCATAAAAAAACCTCTGAGGTTCAATACTTTGCATCTCAAGGCAGGGCTGGGAAAGACTCCTCAAGAACTCAGTGGCAGATTCACACCGTAAAGTTAAAGCACATTCAATGCACATTTAAAGCACATAGCATCCTCCAAAGTATACTGGGAATTGTAATCTAAACGGCCTCAGCCCAGTATACCTGAAGGAGCGTCTCCACCCCCATCGTTCTGCCCAGATACTGAGGTCCACCTCCAAGGGCCTTCTGGCGGTTCTCTTACTGCGAGAAGTGAGGTTACAGGGAACCAGGCAGAGGGCCTTCTCGGTGGTGGAACCTGCCCTGTGGAGCGCCCTCCCACCAGATGTCAAAGAAATAAACAACTATCTGACTTTTAGAAAACATCTGAAGGACATCCTGTTTGGGGAAGTTTTTAATATTTGATGTTTTATCGTGTTTTTAATATTCTGTTGGGAGCCACCCAGAGTGGCTGGGGAAACCCAACCAGATGGGCAGGGCATAAATAATAAATTGTTGTTGTTTTGTTGTTGTTATTTTCGCCCCCACAGAACTCCACTTCCAAGCACACTTTACAAACTACAGTCCTCAGGATTCTTTAGGGCAGGTTTCCCAAACTTAGGTCTCTGGCTGTTGTTGGACTACAACTCCCATCATCCCTGACCACTGGTCCTGCTACCTAGGGATGATGGGAGTTGTGATCCAATATCAAATGGGGACCCAAGTTTGGGAAACCCTGGGAAGCCATGTGCTGATCTGCTCCCAGGGTGTCTTGGCAAGTTAGGGCAAATACTGAGCTAGATCTTAACCGTGGGTGCCCAAATGTTGCTAGACTACAACTCCCATCATGCCTAGCGAGCAAGACCAGTGGTCAAGGTTGATGGGAGCTGCAGTTCAGCAATATCTGGGGACCCAAGGTTGAGAAAGGCTGATTTAGATGGACCAGCAGCCTGACCTAGGACAAGACAGGAGTGGCAAATCAATGACCCTTTAAAAGTTGCCACACTCCAACTCTAAGTAGTTCTGGGTTGCCCTGGGCAAGATAAAGCAACTAACAAATGTAATAAAGAAAAATAATAGATAATAAACAGGGGTGATGGAAGTCGTGGTCTAGCAATATCTGGCGGCATAAAGGATCCCACCCAACTTTCTAGGTCTCTATCCTGGTGCTTATCATGAGCTATTGCTTCTTTGAAATTGTGTGGGGCTGCTTATTTAAAGCAACTGTTAAAATCAGTTTTTTCTTTACTGCTGTTGTTGTTAAAAACTGATTTTGAGATAACTTGCTTTGGTTGCTTTTGTGAATTTGTGTAACCCACTGAAAGGGGACACAGGAAAGTTTGAAATAATTCAATAACAGGTATGAAGCACAGGAACATACCAAGAATGGCAAAAAACACTTGGCAAAAAATCAAAAAATCTATTTTGTTTCCATATAGGTGGTTCTAAAGCTTATAGAGATTTCAGGGACTTGGAAAACCACAGGGGGAAATGACCCTACTCTACAGAGAAATAAGCACTCATTTAATATTTCATGGGGGTGGGAGGGAGGCAGAACAGAGTAGGTAGAACAGGACTTGACTGTGTTGATGATAAAGGCAATCTGTGACTGCGTTGCCATGGAGGGAGGCTTTAATTGCCGCAGAAGCGATCTCAGCCATATTCGCTGGGTGAGTCAATCTTTACTGCAGCACACCAGGCTAAACAAAACAGAATCCAAAATGCTACTTCAACCTATCTCAGAAAAGGGTCAGCAGCAATGATTGCATCTTTGCAACTTTCACATTTCTGTCTTGTCACAATTTAAGTGGAGAAGGACCCCTGCACAGAAGATATGAAACCAGTAGATATACAGTGGTACCTCAGGTTAAGTACTTAATTCGTTCCGGAGGTCTGTACTTAACCTGAAACTGTTCTTAACCTGAAGCACCACTTTAGCTAATGGGGCCTCCTGCTGCCGCCGTGCCGCCAGAACACGATTTCTGTTCTCATCCTGAAGCAAAGTTCTTAACCTGAAGCACTATTTCTGGGTTAGCGGAGTCTGTAACTTGAAGCGTATGTAACCTGAAGCGTATGTAACCCGAGGTACCACTGTAGTAGTCAAAGAGAGATCATCAGGGGGTATGGGCTGGGTGTCCATCAATATGTGGATGATACTCAGCTCTACCTCTCTTTCAAATCAGAACCAGTGAAGGCGGTGAAGGTCCTGTGTGAGTGTCTGGAGGCAGTTGGAGGATGAATGGCAGCTAACAGATTGAGGTTGAATCCTGACAAATAGAAGTACTGTTCTTGGGGGACAGGGGCCGGGCTGGTGTGGAGGTCCCTGATCCTGAATGGGGTAACTGTGCCCCTGAAGGACCAGGTGTGCAGCCTGGGAGTCATTTTGGACTCACAGCTGTCCATGGAGGCGCAGGTTAATTCTGTGTCCAGGGCAGCTGTCTACCAGCTCCATCTGGTATGCAGGCTGAGACCCTATCTGCCCGCAAACTGTCTTGCCAGAGTGGTGCATGCTCTAGTTATCTCCCACTTGGACTACTGCAATGTACTCTACGTGGGACTACCTATGAAGGTGACTTGGAAACTGCAATTAATCCATAATGTGGCAGCTAGACTGGTGACTGGGAGTGGCCACCAAGACCATATAACACCGGTCCTGAAAGATTTTCATTGGCTCCCAGTACGTTTCCGAGCACAATTCAAAGTGTTGGTGCTGACCTTTAAAGCCCTAAACGGCCTCGGCCCAGTATACCTGAAGGAGCATCTCCACCCCCATCGTTCTGCCTGGACACTGAGGTCCAGTGCCGAGGGCCTTCTGGCGGTTCCCTCACTGCAAGAAGCAAAGCTACAGGGAACCAGACAGAGGGCCTTCTCGGTAGTGGCGCCTGCCCTGTGGAATGCCCTCCAAGCAAATGTCAAGGCAATAAACAACTATTTTACTTTTAAAAGACAACTGAAGGCGGCCCTGTTTAGGGAAGTTTTTAATGTCTGATGCTGTATTGTTTTTAATATTTGGTGGAAGTCACCCAGAGTGGTTGGGGAAACCCAGCCAGATGGGCAGGGTATAAATGAATTATTATTGTTGTTGTTGTTTCATACTACAGTGGTACCTCGGGATGCAAAAAGGATCCGTTCCGGAGCTCCGTTCGCATCCTGAATGGAACGTAAGACGCGGCGGTATGTCTGCAGGCCACATTTTGCCGCTTCTGCGCATGCATGTGACGTCATTTTGAGCGCCTGCGCATACGCGAGTGGCGAATCCCGGAAATAATGCCCTCCATTACTTCCAGGTTGCCACAGAGCACAACCCAAAAGCGCTCAACCTGAAGCACATTCAACCTGAGGTATGACTATACAGGTGGGGAATTGAGTATTTTTGAGAAAGCCACAATACATTAAATAATAAAAAAGCATCAGCATTCACTCATGCAATCCCTTTCCTGCAGTTTGAACAATTACAGCCCAGGAATAGTTTTCTCACTTTATCTGCTGCTTGTGTAAACAAACTAGGCATGTAAGAAGGGTCTGCTGGAACAGGCCAATGGCCCAGCGTCCTGTACGCACAGTCTGACTGCACATCCCTCCCTTGCTCTCGTTCCTATTGGCACTGCAATCCGCATTGAATTAAACTACAGTTTCTTGTTCAGTCTAAGACAGGGAAATGTAACTTTACAAACAAGATCTCAAATCAGAATCAAACTGTGGTTTCAGCTCCTGGTTGGTAAACTGGCATTAAATCACAGTTTTCTTATTTTGCAAGTAAAGAGCTGGCCCAAGTGTGTGTGTGTGTGTGTGTGTGTGTGTGTGTGTGTGTGTGTGTGTTGCATGCAGGCTTGGTGGTTTTATTAAACCAGGAACGTTACAGCGAAACCAGTCCATTATCCACTCCGCTCGTCATAGCAGATATAATACTTGGGAAAAGGTCAGCACACAATAGCTTTTTAATAGCATCTCATAATTGAATCTTGAAGAAACCTCAGTTACTAAGCAAGCTAATGCTACTTTGTCTTATGGTTAGGCTTGTCTGTAAAGTTTTATTTTGGTGCAGAGACTGGGGCTTCTCAGCGACGGAAAACCTGGTTTACTGTCTTTAAAAATAAGAAAAGAAAACAGTATACATTCTTGCTTGAGTAAAAATGTGACTTATCAAAGGCTGAGGCAGTCAGAAGAAGCTGCTCTTGCTGTGGCAGCAGAAGCGAAAGAAGTGAAATGGATGGAATGGATCTGAGACAAAACCATGGGGGCAGATATCCACTCCAACTCTCTGGAACCTTCCACGGAGCCATTTTTTAAAAAATGAAGTCTTTCACTGGTCACTGATGTCTAATTAATTGGCATATGTCGTCACTTACCAAGAATTATTACCACACTGTACTTGATAGCTTTGATTTTAGCCTTTGATATGAGTCCCCGATGGGTGTAGCTAGCGCAGAATTTGCCATCTGCAAAGAGAAGAGAAGGGAAAAATAAATGTAAGAAATGAATAGCCAAGACTGAAATATGTCACCTAAAATTTTTAGGCTGACCAATCTTGAGCAATTTCACAATACATATACCATCTATAATATCATCTAACCTATCAATTTGTCCCATTATTTATTGATTCTTTATCTGAATTCTTACACAACGCACAGTCACCTAGCCTATCACAAGGACCTCAGTTATGCTGAAGCATCTTAAAAACAACACAACACACACAACACAACACAATCTTTTGAGATATTTTTTTATCATAGATGTGGCTATATGCTTTTTAAAAAGTGTAAACAGCTATCTGATGTGGCTTTCAACAAGTTGTGAAGACATCTCCCTTAGCTACCAGCTGTGAGGTAAAATAATCTCCTCGGTCCATCCTGCTGCAGAACATCTAACATAATAGTGTGCCGTGCCAAATTTCTGAGGTTTGATTTTCAAAGCAGAGCTGTAAATTGGGGAGCTTTTAAACTGTTTGCTGCCACCACCACTCTCACAATTTTGATGCCAGTTCCCAGCCTTCCAACTCCCAATTTACTGTTCCTGCCTTATTTTTTATTTTATTTTTTGCAGGGGGAGAGAGATGTTAGAGATATAGATTTTTTGAATTGTTTATAGCCAATGACCATATGCTAGAGATAGGCAAGCGGTCTTGTGCCCACCCTGAAAAGCATATTAAACCTGAACACTTGGAAAGTTTTAATGAAGCTCTCTGAGTGTTCAGCTTAACACTTCCTTTGGCTGGTAGCCCATTCTACTCCCACAAGGGCTAAAAAAGCTCACCTTGAGGAAGAGAGACAAGGTAGCAGCTTGCGGAGGGCTCCAGTAATGACGGAAGAGGCCTGTTAATGCCTCCCCTCTGAAAAATGATGTTATGGGCATAATTTTCTGCTGAAGAATAATTGGGTATTAGAAGTTCTCCATATGGCTTTCATAAGCTGAATCTTTGCTAAGAGCCTCGCTGTAGGTCTACTTCCAGTTTTGTTTCCCAACTTAGATGAAACATTCTTCATGATCTGTGGTTGTCTATTCCCCATAGCTGGGTCAACATTGGCCTTTAGGATCTGATAACATTGGATAATATGATCCAAAGGTCTTTTCCATCCCTACAATTCTATGAGCCTAAGAAATTGTGGCAATTTCGAGAGGGGTAGCTGTGGTGTCCTTTAAGATGCCACAGAACTTCTTGTTGTTTTTGATGCAATTCTACGTTACTTGGTAGCTCAAAGATTTCATCTGCGAAGCCTGCCAAAACTGAAACTTTTGAATTTAAAATTTCACACTCAAAACGGAAATTCCTCCAGAATCTTCTCAATCAACTGGCAAAAATGGAAGAAACCAAAGACAGTCAGATATTTGGGGATATTCTGCTATTACTGATCAGCTTAATCTTGGTCAATATTTCCATCCGTGATGAATTTAGAAGGATTTCTGGTTTTTTTTAAATAATATTTATTAAAGTTTCGAGATATTACAAAAATAAGAGAAAAAAGTAATAAAAAAGGAAAAAAGAAACAAAAATGAAAACACAAAGTAAAAACAGTTAAAAACAAATCAGTCTTTTCATATCTTATCTTTCACCTATTAACAATCCATTTTTACATATTCCTTTCTAACATTGCTACTAAAAGCCACTTAACTTCAATCCAACATCATTCTAACATTCATTAATTTTGCAGTGTTTCTGTAAATAGTTTTTAAATTTCTTCCAATCTTCTTCCACCGACTCTTCTCCCTGGTCTCGGATTCTGCCAGTCATTTGCGCCAGTTCCATATAGTCCATCGCCTTCGTCTGCCATTCTTCCAGAGTGGGTAAATCTTGTGTCTTCCAGTGTTTTGCGATAAGTATTCTTGCTGCTGTTGTGGCATACATAAAGAAAGTTCTATCCTTCTTTAACACCAATTGGCCAACCATGCCCAGGAGAAAGGCCTCTGGTTTCTTCAGAGAATTTAGAAGGATTTCTGGAAATTCTTAGTTTAAACTTTGAACAGAGCACAGCTTTGTATGAGATAACTTGTGGAAACCAAAGAAAAATAAAACTCTAGAAAAGCTAATTGTGAATTCATTAGAATGTATTAACACAATGTTTCTTTTCCTGTCACTAAAGCAGTAATTAAGGTAAAAGTACGCTTGGCTCAGTTTTTTTTCTTTCCTTTTCATTTGAATATTTACAATGCTTATTTGATTAATTAGTGCTTCAAAAGAAAGAGTCTTGATTTTTCCCTTGCTTACATGAATCTATTTCAACCGCTGTTGATGGATTTTAGGTCCTTAGTTAGGAATTAATGTGTATTTTTCATGGCTTATGCTCAGGTTATTAGCATAAGACTTCACTCAGTCATTTTCTCTTATTACTTCCAGGTAAAATGACTGGGGCCCAGCCAACCTGGTGAGCACATGTTTAAATGCTTTTGGCAATTTAGCCTATGGCAGCTCATGGAGATTTGATCTACAGTGGGCTTTTTAATGATCTGTGGCAATTGCATACCCACTGTCTTTCAATGTCATTAGTTTCAATGCTTGGGCGTGATTGCCCCAATTTACTTACCTGAGCAGTTGGAAACAATGACAGCATGAGCTTTGCTCTTAACCCATATTGTTCGGATCACAATGAAGTAAATAACGCTACAGTTGGGGAAAGAACAGAAAACAAACAAGTTAGCAATTCTTTAGGATGGGATAATTCTAAGTGTCTCATCATCCTAGTGATATAAGTAAAAAAAAAACACTGCTCCTTTTCCCTTATGTGGTATCCAAGAGCCCATATAGAGTCCTATTGTAGGTTCTCTATCGGTAGGAGAAAATAACAGAGGCTAACCAGAGAATATTGAGAAGCAAAGCAGCTAGTAAGCCTGATCTTTATTAACTGTTGCAACAGGGTGCTCCCCCACAGGCAGGAGAGAGGAGAAGGACCCTGAGCCATGCGTTCAAGCCCTTATTTTAAATTGGCCACCCTGGAGTCCAAGACCACCCCCAGAAACATCATACATACATCACAGAAGGTGTGTAGCCCAAGATCACCCCCCAGATACATCATATCTACATCACAGAAAAGGTGGTCTACAACAGAAATCTGAGTGCATTGTTTTTACCCTGTCTGCCAGGTTACCTGTTAATGGTCACTTAACTGGATTACCTGGGGAGCCTGGCCATTCTTTTGTAATGATAATACTTTTAATGATACTGGAAGTGGTGTTAAGGTTCAACTTCTGCAGAACTTCATGGCTTATATCAAAACTCACATTGTGTCAGCTACAAGCATACGCACACTGGCAAACTAGTGTTATAAGAATTTTTAGGTCTCATTTTATATATATATATATATATCTATATATATATATATCTATATATATATATATATAGTGTTCATAAATGTACCAAGCAAAGGTAAGGTAAAGGGACCCCTGACGATTAGGTCCAGTCATGGACAACTCTGGGGTTGCGGTGCTCATCTCACTTCATGTGGCCAGCATGACTAAGCCACTTCTGGCGAACCAAAGCAGCGCACGGAAATGCCGTTTACCTTCTCACTGGAGTGGTACCTATTTATATACTTGCACTGGCATGCTTTCGAACTGCTAGGTTGGCAGGAGCAGGGATCGAGCAACGGGAGCTCACCCCATCACGGGGATTCGAACTGCCGACCTTTGATCAGCAAGTCCTAGGCTCTGTGGTTTAACCCACAGCGCCACCCACATCCCACACAAGCTACAGGGGTAAAAAAACCTTGGTGCTTGTCTATGCAGGGCTGCTAGATTGCAAGCAGGAGAACAGGCAGGTGTGACCTGTCACATTACACCTCCTGAGGCAAAACAGAAAGGTCACAGCCTGTGTGCGCATGCCATGTGCCTCTCACCTGCTCTTGCAGCCCCCCACCAAAGCCTTGCTTACTGGGGTGCCATGACTTCTGGGTTCTGGTGAGATCTCACAAGAGCCCCATGAGATTGTGCAAGGCTCTTGTGAGATCATACCAGAACCTGGAAACCTCAGCAGATGCTTCTCCTCACTCCTCTAACAGCAAGCGGGAGATGCCCATGAAGGTTCCCTTAGATTCTGCCGCCTGAGGCAGCTACCTCAGTCGGCCTCATGGGTAGCTCGGCCCTGAGAATGTCTTCTATATACCCAGGTAAGGCAGGAGGTGAGGCAGCTGTGACCTATTCCTATTCTAGTCCACCTATTCCTATTCTAGTCCACATGTTCCTATTCATAGAATCATAGAATCATAGAGTTGGAAGAGACCACAAGGGCCATCGAGTCCAACCCCCTGCCAAGCAGGAAACACCATCAGAGCACTCCTGACATATGGTTGTCAAGCCTCTGCTTAAAGACCTCCAAAGAAGGAGACTCCACCACACTCCTTGGCAGCAAATTCCACTGTCAAACAGCTCTTACTGTCAGGAAGTTCTTCCTAATGTTTAGGAAGTCTAATGTTTAGGAATTCTAGTCCACTTCTCCTCCCCTGCCTGTGGTGCAAAGTATCAGCTTCTGAGCGACCTGCTTGAAATATTCATATTGATAGTCCAGGCCTGGAAACCATAAGCATAAATGATTTTTTGCTTTAATATTTCTGTTCCGCTTTTCCAACAACAAACGTTGAGCTCAAAGCAGCCCGCAAGCATCACAAAAGCACTGAAATCCGCAAACATTACAATCACTATACTATCCAACAAACACAATGATATATAAATAAAGTAAACGACAACAAATTCATCAAAATGGTTAATACAATTCAATGAAGTATTAGCTAAGAAGAAAAGAAGTTTCCATGATGGCAAAGATATTAATACCCACACTTCTGAAGCTGGTGTGTCACCAAATTTAATGATCTTGGCTCCAGCCAGGAACCGCATAATTAAACCAAATGTCACAAAGGGAGAGATACCAAGATCCATCCAAGTGCCTGTTTGATGCAAGAATGATGCTCATCCAGTAAACTCAAGATTCTGTTGTTGTTGTATGCAGCTTTGATAACTATGAAGCTGAAAAGGAGCATATGTGTGGAAATAAATGAATGGCGCTAGAGAGGCAACCAAACATTCAGTTCTGTAACTTTATTTCATCGGCCTGCCTTGCCTTCTGCACATTCTGCCAGATAGGTATGGCCAAAGTGGAAGACACTGGCCTTCTTTGAGGTATGAATGGCAGATCAGCATCTTCAGCAAACCAACATACCAAGTTACTTGAAGGAAAAGAGAATGCAAAGAAAGTAAGGCAGAAAGAGAGTGGGCTTGTAATTTGGCAACCCTACCCAAGAAAGCTACTTGTTATTCATTTTCAATTCCTACGATGGTATGATTGTTCCAGATAAATAAAGCCATCTGAGGCCTCTGGATCTCTCTTCAGAAGACATCTGTGAGTTATTCTTTTCACAGTATAAGAAAATTACAGAGGTTTTTGAATAATAAGGATAAGGAAGATGAAGCATTTATAAATTACTTTTTGAGTGTTCGGCAACTCACATAGATTATTGAGTAATCTTTGCAACAAATTTCAAAGGGACAGCCATGTGCTGTAGGCGTGTGTGTGTGTGTGTGAATGAAACTGACACCTTCATAATGTACACAAATCTGCACGGAATAGTTTTGTGCCTTCTTCATGTGTGGCAGCTTTCCTCCTATCCCAGTGCTAAAAAACAGGCATCCAAGTCTGGATTAAATATTAAAACATAGGGTGATATTCAGTAAGTTTTATTCAAAATAGACTTAATGAAGTGAATGGATTGATCTATCTTAGTCATGCCCATTCGTTTTAATGGGTCTACTTTGAGTAAAGGTTGGTTGAATACTACTGATAGGAAGTGACAATTTGCACCTGGTCATAGGATTCTCTACTATGGTGAGGTGTTTCGTATTTCTCTTTCAATTATAGAGATTATAATTTTACTATCATATAATACCATATGCATATATCATTCCAATTTTATGCTAACCTCTGGGTTCTTTTAGCCTCCTTTTTAGTATACAGCAACAGGTCCCAGTTCAGTACATTTCTTACACTGAAAAATCGATTTCACAAAACCTCCCGCCTTAGGAAAGTACATAAGCATAAATTCATGTGCAAACAAGTGATCAAATCCTATTAACCTTACTGGACACCCATGAGCAAGATTTAATACCAGAGATCTATAAACACCTGTGCTCAAACTTCCGGGAATATGACACCACTTGAATATATCGGTTTTATGTATTGTGAAGCAAGAGATGATTGTACTTTGTATTTCTTTGCATTCTCTGCCTTTTCAGATATATTCAAATGCAAAAGATACTGATTTGCCCTTCACAGGAGGCTGTTTTCCACTTTGAAATTACAGTGCTTGTAGGATGTGGCAGAAGTAGCTTTCAGAACAGAATGTATGGTTGTCTCCTTTGGTTTAGTTTCATAAATACACTGCTTTTCAGCTTTATAGCTCTTAAAGCTGCATGAAACAAGATAAAAATGGTCTTGAACAGTGATGCATGTGGTTCCCAGGTCTGGATCATGGACATGTTTGTTTCAAGTGACTCTTCTGACAAGTCTCTCTTACCAGAGCCTTAATTACTCTTCACTAATGTGTTTGCCATTCTAATGATAATTTTCGTTGAGTCCCTGTAATGGCTTCAGATAAAGCAAAATATGAAAAGGAACCAAGTCCACAAACCTAAAGACCTATGCAGACATTTAATTCCTCCCTCTTTTGCTGTTCCAGTTGCTTTTTACAAGTTGGAGGGTGATGCCCCAAAACATATGTATCCAAGGGAGTTCCCCATGTGTTTCAGAACCTCAATTTCCCCCATTTATTTCAATGGAGGAAACCAATATGTGCCCTTCTTCCTTTGCGTAACTATGCAGATTAGTGCCCTCCATTGAAATGAAGGTGGAATCTCACCTGGACGTGTGAGATAAGTGTGTGTGAATGCTTAGTACAAGATCCTTACCTGATAATAATCAGAGGAATGAAATAAACCAGGAAGGCAACTGTGGTCATGTAGGGAATCCAGTAGGAGTCATCCGGCCAGGCAGCCCAGCACTGCACTTCGCCATTGGATAATTGCCGCTTCCCGAATATAATCAGCGTTGGAATTGAAAACAGGAAGGCAAGGCCCCAGGCAACTACAATGAGGATTTTTGCTTGCCTTTCTGCTCGAGAAATAAGAACAAGGTATTAAATTACATGCGCAGCTTATTCAAAGAACAGACCTGGATATTGAGGAAAATTTAGAGGGGTGAATGAGAGGCGATAGAGTTCCTTACCCACAGTGTGGGGAGAAACTTAGCTGGTCGCATTCTGTGAAATATGAATCTGTGTTCTGTTTTAGGATTAAAATAATTAGGGATGGTTTATCAAATACATTACCATACGGATAACTGGGAGCTCTGCCAAACACTGTAGTCGGGGAAAAGCTTGCTGCAAGGTGTTTTTGAGATTTCAGACAAAGAATGGCCAGCACAACAGCTGGGATTCATTGAATTCCAGGGAGCTCCAGAAACAGCAAAACCCAAACAAGCATGGTCACCACTCCGTGGCAGAACTTCACTAGGCTCCATGTACAAAAGATCCCTGGTAATCCCAATTAACATGATTTCAGGGAAGCAGGAGAGATCTCTGCCCAGCCTTATCATCAGCACATGGTATTCTCAGGCAATCTTGGGTCCCAAGAGCCGCCAAAATGCCAGGGCCGGACCTGGAATAACCTCTATGTTTTCTAGCTATAGGGATTTTCTTCTTTTTTTAAGTGATAAATAAAAAAATGCTTCCATTTGAACTGTAGCAATTTTACAAAGGAACTACTACATGATTTTGCTGGGTTTGTGGCTCATTCTCTCACCCTACTTTTAACAATGTGCACATTGCAAAGGCATGGCTATTTTCCGGGTACAACAAGGTTTATGAACGCAAGTGGGGGAAGCAGATGGCCCTCAATTAGCTCAATGAATGATCTCAGTGAATGGGGTTTGTTTGTTTTTATTCCAGCAGGCATTTCAACTGAATTCTGAATTTCATAGCTAAGTTTCTGCATGTTGCTTAGAGATGACAGTGATTAACTGTTATATAAATGGTTGAAACAAACAAACAAATGTTATTTAAAAACCTACTTCCATCCACCACTGCCTGCAATTCCAGTGTTCTGTAGAACACAAACTCCCCAATTATGATTCCTTTAATGCAATGTATAGTATTGTTATAAGGTTTGTGGGGCCTGGAGTCCCCTTCTAATTCCAGAGTGCCAACAGAGGGGGATTTAGGGCATGGAGCCTGGGTAGCACCGGCCTGCAACTATGATGCAGAATGGAAGGTGAGAGGAAGGGGCACCAAATATTGGCATCTCACAGGGCACCCCTGAAATTTGAGACCCCCAAGGTCACCCACTGGTGCCAGACATTGAATTTAGCATGTTAAAATACAAGTCAGGAGCCAGCTTGGTGAGTCTTTGGCTGGGACCAAGGGAGCGGCTCTGTGCCAGAGGGCAAATGGTCCCTCGTTGGAGAAAGACAAAAGGAGAATATTGGGATGGAGTTTTTGCAGTGATGTGAGAACTGGTAATATTCAGCAAAATGGAGAGAGGGTGAGAGGCATGTTTTGAAGCATGTTTGATTTCTGCATGAATCCTGGGCTGCGGCTATGTGAAAATCAAGACCTTTTTGGGGTGGCAATGTTCTGAACCCCTCAATTGCAGGCTCGGGTTATATATATGTGTGTGCGTAAATAAACCATATATCATAAAGACACCACAGTCTCTGCTCAGCCTCATTTCCCCAAAGGAAACACAGAACTTTATGAGTAAAGCATGCCTGGAACCCCTGGGGTCTCACGCTGCTGTGAAGATTGGGGTGGTGCGTAACAGTCTCATTCATGTGCCATTATCACATTGTGATTCCTCCACACCGAAAGTAAAGAGGGAAGAGCTGTGTGTGTTAGCCTGAGCTCCTTGGCTGAAGGGCAGAGTAAAAATCAACTTGGCAAGTACATAAACATGATTGGATGCCACAACACAGTCAATAATATGGTGCCACAATCACAAGAATGTTCACATTCTTTAGGATAATGTGATGTGGGGGATGCTGTTTTCATCAGCAGTCAATGTTCAGAATAACATTAAGTCCTGCCCTAAATGTTTCTCTGCAGAGCATTTTTTCCAGATTTAAAAACCACTCTGTTAGTTGTCTTCCTGATAGCAAACCTTCCACTGTCCTGCAAAGTTCCGGTTGCAGTTTTTTACTGACACTGGCAAAAATCATTTCCCTACACAGACAGATTTTTACTTTATTTTAAACTAATACTATGAAGCATTTCACTGGTGTAAATGGAAGTCCCACAACATTTTAAACGACATGATTTAAGTTTCAGGGGCGCAAACCATTTAAATTTTTTGAATTCCCCACTGAATTTCCACCAGGCATAGTTTTCAAACATTTTATCGTTTTATTAACTTTTGGGTGCCTAATGGCCCTTTCTCACCAGAGTAAGAAAAAAGGAAGATATTCATTAAGTCAGATATCTGACATGATTGCAATAATGGTTGTAAAATGCCAAAGGCCAACACCACAGATATTTGAAAAATGGCAAGGGAGTCTAAGAACAGGAATTAATAAATGAGTCTATTGCATTATTCATAGCAGTAAAATATTTGCTCTGAAAATGAAGTTGTTGCACAAAGTGTGTGTGTGTGTGTGTGTGTGTGTGTGTGTGTGTGTAACATGGGAGTGGGATAAATCTCTTACCTCCTTGGAAGAATTTCATTGGATACACAATGGCATGATATCGGTCTATGCTTAGTGAGACCAGGACATAGGTTGAAGCATACAAAAGTACAACCTAGAGCAGAAAGAAAGAAGTGACCATTTATTGGAGGGAAATGGGTCATCAGAGCATTGGCTCAATTCCATTTTGGTGTTAGGCCTGGGCATGGCACTGAAGCTGCCATGATTGTATGGCTTGGGAGAAAGATGGCAGAGGGGGACCCTGCCCAATTCTCAGGGGCTGTTGTGACTGTTGAGCATGGTATCCTTCTCAAGCGTCTCAAGGGGGTGAGGGTTGGCAGGTCTGTGTTTCATTTATTCCCTTCCTATCTCCATGGCCATTTCCAGAAAGTAGTCATGGGGTGCCCTGCCCCATGATGTCCTCCAGGGTTCTATCAACTTGTCCCTGATGATATTTAACATCTATATGAAACCTCTGGGAGCTGTCATTAGGAGATTTAGAGTGAAGTGTCGTCAATATTCAGACAGCACCCAGCTCTATCTCTCTGTCCACACGGATCAGGAGAAGCAGTCGAGGTGTTAGATCAGTGGTTGGTGGTGGTGATGGGTTGGATGTGGGGCAAGAAACTGAAGCTGAATCCTGAAAAAACAAATGTGTTATGGGTTTGGGGTTCTTGTGTCTGGGAGGCGGAGAGGCAGCCTGATCTGAATGAGATTTCACTCCCCTAGAAGGAGCAGGTCTACATCTCCACCATAACTGAAGGCACAGGTGGACTCAGTGACTGTGTGTGCCTGTATTCAGCTCCTTCTGGTTCACCAGCAAGGCCCGGTTGGGACAAAGATGACTTGGCTATTGTGTAACAAAACTGATACGTAGAATAAACTTTTTTTTCTACTTTCATGCAACCATCTTCTTGGAAACAGAGTGATTTCTGCCCCGCCCCCCGCCCTAGGCAAATTGTTAAGCTGAGGAATAAGTACGTCAGGAAACTCAGAGAGACATTTATCTATTCTCCTACCTGCAGATAGCGAACAATTCGGCAGACGAGATCAGGGGCCATGAAATCTCCAGTGAAGCGCCAAATTATATCAGTCATTATATTTATAAGGCCTGTAAAACAATCTATTAAAAACACAAAAAGGCACAGTTAGAAAGGAAGGAAAAAAGCAGCTGCTACAATGCCATTATCGTCTTCAATCCTACTCCCACCTGCTGTGATTGTGGAGATCAGTGTGTGGTAGCTGCCATGGGATAAAATAAGTGCTCAGATTTAATAAGTACTTTTCCATACAGCATTCAGAAAAAAGTTGCATAGGCAGTAAAACCTGGCTTAGTTACAGTGGTGAGAGATCCTAAATGACTGGTATAGGAACTCAAGAGAAGCTGGTAAGAGTCAGGCGGTCCGAGCTGGCTCAGCTCAGACCTCCACACATGTGTTGAGCTTGTCAGGTAGACTCGGGGAACAATGTCTTGATTAACTAGCCCCTCCCAAGGTGAGCTAAGTCTGGCAGAAGAGTATCTATGGTATTAACCCTTTCATGTTTGTTATATGAGGTTGGTTATCCCAGACTTACAAAGCACCTTCAGATCTGACCACTCTATGAAGCCAAGTTAGAGGTGGACGCGGTGAGGATGTACACCTCTAACACACATACAGCTTCTGTCATAGAATCAAAGATTTGGAAGGGACCCTGAGGATCATCTAGTCCAACCCTCTGCAGTGCAGGAATATGCAGCTGTCCCATACAGGGATTGAACCTGCAACCTTGACATTATCAGCACGATGCTCTAACCAACTGACCTGAGTTATAACACCTGACAGGACTCCTGAAAACAAGGCTTAGACTCTAAAGTTCAGGACAAACTTGAGCACCTGGAAACCTTACCTGGGCTTGTAGCTGAGAAACAGTCCTTGTGGCCGTTTCCGTTCCACTTAAAGTTCATTGATTTTCAGTCGGGATCTAATGTTCACCCACTTTTGCCTCTGGCCCCATGCCCCACTGACATGTGTCCCTCAAAAGAAAATACAGCCCTCAGGTTAGAAAAGGTTCCATGTCCTAAATCTAGAGTGTCCTCTGGGAATACAAAAGCACACTGGGAGTTTTAAAACAAAGATGCTCTTACACCAGAGGCTGAATTGGGAGAGGATGTTGGGCTACTTTTGGAAAGGGGCTTCATAAACTCTACCATACGTTGTTCATTTCTGGAGTGCAGCTGCGTAAATTGCCGCTCGGACCTCAACTTCTGGAGCTTCCCTTGCACCAAATCCCTAACGGCTGCCAGGCTCTCTGTGAAACACAGGGATTGTAGGAGATTTAAAACAAGAGTTAAAGAGAGAGTGTGAGCTGTGTGCCACTCTGCAGATTTGGCACAGATAGATAAATCATAGGTGTGACGCTGTTGTGTTTGAATTGTGTTCAATTGATGCCAGAATAGAACTGTCCTCGCTTCTGAGGAAAGAATATGTTCACATCCACACACAGTTGTTTGGGCCAGCTTTGATTTCTGATCTTTCGTTGCCAAACCAAAGTGTCAAAACTAACAGAAACTGCAGGAGCCACAGTGTTCATTTTGAAGAATGCAATTGTAATAAGGGACGTCAGTTGAATTCAGTGACCTTTAATATGAAGGATAGCTGGGCAGTTGATTGCTAACCTGTTAGACAAAATGTACCTGTTTGACGTGTGATGGCGGCGGGGAGCTGTTATTTGCTTTCCACATTACAAAACATTTCATGTTAATGCCACAAACGTTTTTAGGTGTTTACAACTTTCTTTCAAGTAATTTATAAATTTGCTCCAGCTATGTTGTTCCACGTGATGGAACACTTCAACACAGCCTCTGGAAGAAGGGGTTTGGGGAAGACACGTCAGGAAGGAGTGCAAGTTGCAGGCAGCGTGGCCACCTTGAACCAATACACCTCTCTTGCGAAGCGTGGCCAGGTCTGGGCACACATCTGACCTGCGCCTTTCTTCAAGGCAGGGAAGCAGATCCAACACCCCTCCCCACCTAGTAGAAACAATTAATGATGGGAGGGGTGACTGAGTTTATTCCAGACTACATGGCTTGCAGGGTTTTATAATATTTATAAAAGTACAACAACAACAATATGCATTATAATCTTTGCTCTAGTATTACAGAGCTGGTGGAGCTAATTTGAGGCTGTGGGTGGCACTGTGGGTTAAACCACAGAGCCTAGGACTTGCCAATCAGATGGTTGGCGGTTCGAATCCCCGCAACGGGGTGAGCTCCCGTTGCTTGGTCCCTGCTCCTGCCCACCTAGCAGTTTGAAAGCACAAAGTGCAAGTAGATAAATAGGTACCACTCCAGCGGGAAGGTAAACGGCGTTTCAGTGTGCTGCTCTGGTTTGCCAGAAACGGCTTAGTCATGCTGGCCACATGACCCGGAAGCTGTATGCCGGCTCCCTCAGCCAATAAAGCCAGATGAGCGCCGCAACCCCAGAGTCGGTCACGACTGGACCTAATGGTCAGGGGTCCCTTTACCTTTACTTTACACACCGTACATTAAAAGCATTATCGCTTCTCCCCTGTAAGAATCCTGGGAACTGTAGATTACCCTTCAACTGCATACCTACAATTTGTAGCACCCTTTACAAACTGCAATTCCCAGGATTCTTTGGGAGAAATGTGCTTTTAATGCCTGTTTTTCCTGCAGCAGACATGCTCAGCTACCCCTCTGGTAGCTCAATCCCACATAAAGCTGTGACGGCCACCAACTTGGATGCAGGAAAGGCTATCAATGGCCAATAGGCACGATGGCTATGCTCTACCTCCACAGTCAGTGGCAGTAACGTTTGTGAACAGTAGTTGCTGGAAGATGCAGGAAGGGAATACAGAATGCTCTTGTTTCCACAGGCCTCTGTGAGAACAGGATGCTGGACTAGACAGGCCAATGTGGCCTCATCCGGCAGGCACTTCTTATGTCCTTCCGTGGTTCAAGGGTAGAGATTGTGAGAAGGCATCTTCCAAAGCAATCCCACCCCGCAAATAGCTTTGGAGCCTTCTTGCCTCTAGCCTAGCCCTCACCCCTTTTCCTGTTCCCGCTGGAGTCTTCTTTTGCTTGCCACGCCTGCGGGCTCTCTTCCGGCCAACGCTGCCAATGACAGATCTTAAAAACTTGGGGTTGGTGAGATTCGGCAATCGCAGCACCTTGCGCCTGCTGGACCTCCTGAGCGGAGCGGGTTGTGTCTTGCTCCTCGTGAAGCAGGGTGAAATGTGAGGAGTGTTGCAAGCCGGTGCAGAGGCAGAAGGTCTGTCCGAGATGGTAGAGCACGGCTTCTCTGTCAGGGGCTTCTTCCTAACCCAGTGGAACGCCAGTATCATACACCTCTTAGATGGGTTGGACATGCTGAAGAAGGTCTGGAGGCCCAAAGACCAGGGTGACTTCAAAGCGGAGGACGCAGCAGGCAGTTCCCTATCAATGGTGCCAAATCCAAGCAAATGTTAACTCCAGTCCTGTTAAATCGATCCAGCAATTATGAACGTTAAGTAAGGGATTAATTCCTCAGGCAGTATGAAAAGACTTTCTGTGGCTTTTTAATAGATGGGAGCCCCCAACTACTGCCACTGTTGACAGCCTGTTGCCCCTTTTAACTCTGCTTGAATGGGTTATGTCACAATGGTTCCTTCATCAGGTGTTTGTGAGCATGAAAATGCTGTTGGGAGTTTCAGCAATGAAGGCTCAGGCATAACATACTGTTTGAAAGTCTGAACATTTCCTCTTTTTTTATTTAACAAAATTTATATACCACTGTTATAATTTATATACAAATTATTAGGAGAGTAAGTTAAAAATATACTGTAGTTTATTCACTTATAGGCTAGTTTACATACTTTATTCCTTCTTATACTTCTATCCCACCTTTCCCCCACAGAGCATACACACTTCAGCCTCTGCCTTCTCCATTTTATCCTGACAGCAATATTGTGAGCTCGAGCCATAGCTCAGTGGCAGAACAACTGCTTAGCATGCAGAAGGCATCAGGTTCGGTCCCCAGCATCTCCTGGTGGGACTGGGAGCGCTCCCTCTGCGCTTTGGAGGCTTCACGTTGCTATTGCTAAAGCCAAGGAGCCTGAATTCGCTCCATAGGATGCACACACATTTCACCTTAATTTTGGAGGGGGGAAAGTGCGTCCTATAGAGTGAAAAATACAGTAAATGCTATTATTTATTTATTTATTTATTGTATATAAGTTCCCAAAAGCTCTTTTTTTTTTTTTTTGCACCCCTACCACATGTGGTACATCATGCCCTCTACCTCCTTACACCTCCAGCATAAGTTTGAGTTAATTCTGTACATTTTGGACAGCTTGCTGGGGGTGATGTACCACCTGTATAACATTTTCATAAAATTTTCTTTTATAGTGAAGCAGGCCGTGATTTCAATTCCCTTCTCCATAAATTTCCCCATCCCTTCATTTGTATATTGTAACCGAAATCCTTCGCCCCCTTAACCTTTACCAATTTTACCTCTGTAGGAGTTGTATTAAGCCCCATCTCCCCGTACTGTTTTCCCAACCCAAAACTCCCTCCCTCTATTCCCACACTGGAGAAAAGAATAAGAAAAGCACTTGTATCGCGCAACCTTTTTACGACTATTAGAGTAAATCCATTACAGAAGCAGGAAGAGGCACTTAGGAATCTGACATAGGATTACACTGATGTCTGGACCTACTTAATGGTTGAAGTTCAAACTATTGCCATAGTAACTCCAGTAAGTAAGTGATATTACTCATAAGGCACATGAGATTGGGCACTGGTGATTATTAAGAAAAAAGGTCAATGGGAACTTGAGTATTATGTCCGAAAGCACTGGAGTGGATACAATATTGCTCATGTAGGTTGTTTTGATCCACAAGTCATATGGTGTTGTCCTTGTTTCTGTAATCATGCACTATATATATATATATATATATATATATATATATATATATGTATCCATATTTTTATAATTTTTATTTGGAAATATGAAACAGAGAATGAGACACAAATATAACCAGCTGACATTAATAACATCCCATCAAGTCTAGTGCTAAACATATACAGTAGACCAAAAGGCAAACTAAGGCCTGGGGGCTGGATCTGGCCCAATCACCTTCTAAATCCGGCCTGTGGACGGTCCGGGAATCAGTGTGTGTTTACACAAGTAGAATGTGTGCTTTTATTTAAAATGCATCTCTGGGTTATTTGTGGGGCATAGGAATTAGTTCATTTTTTTTTCTTTTCAAAATATCATCCGGCCCCCCACAAGGTCTGAGGGACAGTGGATCGGCCCCCTGCTGAAAAAATTTGCTGACCCCTGATATAGACTCATATAAGCAATCCATATCTCGAAATAGATATCTAAATGAGATTGACCATTATAAGCCACGCATATGAATGTAGAAAAGGCAGTGATGTCTTCTGATCACTGAATAGTAGGTGGTGGGTACAGTGGTACCTCGGGTTACAGATGCTTCAGGTTACAGACTCCGCTAACCCAGAAATAGTACCTCGGGTTAAGAACTTTGCTTCAGGATGAGAACAGAAATCGTGCGGCAGCAGCAAAGCAGCAGCAGCGGGAGGCCCCATTAGTTAAAGTGGTACCTCCGGTTAACAGCAGTTTCAGGAACGAATTAAGTTCCTAACCTGAGGTACCACTGTATTTGGTAGAACACGGATCCAACAGTTTGACTTCACCCCCAAAGGCGAACTCCTTCATTGTCTCCTGAGACAGACGGATGCCAACCATATCAGGTATTAGGTAGAACATGGGTAACTGCATTCACTTTCCAGACTGGCGATCCTTCCCACATGGTAAAGGAGCAGGCACTCACGCCTCTCATAATTTGTTGTTGTTGTTGTTTAGTCGTTTAGTCGTGTCCAACTCTTCGTGACCCCCTGAACCAGAGCACACCAGGCACTCCTGTCTTCCACTGTCTCCCGCAGTTTGGTCAAACTCATGCTGGTAGCTTCGAGAACACTGTCCAACCACCTTGTCCTCTGTCATCCCCTTCTCCTTGTGCCCTCAATCTTTCCCAACATCAGGATCTTTTCCAGGGAGTCTTCTCTTCTCATGAGGTGGCCAAAGTATTGGAGCCTCGGCTTCAGGATCTGTCCTTCCAGTGAGCACTCAGGGCTGATTTCCTTAAGAATGGATAGGTTTTATCTTCTTGCAGTCCATGGGACTCTCAAGAGTCTCCTCCAGCACCAGAATTCAAAGGCATCAATTATTCGGTGATCAGCCTTCTTTATGGTCCATCTCTCACTTCCATACATCACTACCTCTCATAATACTCCAGTGCATTAGGTATGAGCAGTACACATTATGATATGGGCATGGAAGGAGCGTGCCTCCCCCAACAGTGATGGCACAACTGCCAACAGAGGCTCCCCTGCCTGTTGTAGGGCCTGAGGTGGCTGGTGTTGGGAGAGACAGTCTGCAAGAGCTTGCAGTAGCTCTCAATGAAGTTGAGATCCACATCTGTGCTGGATCTTAAATCTACCAGTGGTCCATCATGGAAACAGGAAGAGACTGAGAGCAGCCCCGTCAAATTTTCTGTCTCATAGCAACTTGATGTTCTCACAGAGAACTCTTGTCTCCATACACCTGGCTGCTTCTCCATGCTCTGTCCCTTTCCCTCAGCTTCCTCCATGCTTCTGGTCAGCAGGAAACACTGGGCAACAATTTTTAACTTTTTGAATGTTGTCTAGATTTCTACAACTGATTTAGGGTATTTTTGCACTGCTGAATCAGGAAATGGCATCCGTTTCTCTCCATCAGGTCAGGTTTACTGTAAACTGAATGGTGGGCATTGATAAAGGTAAGTACACGTAAATTGCATGTTGCTTCACCATTTTTCAAACTTCAGGGCTTGAACTTCCGCTCAGCGGCAGGGAGGTCTCTCTTCAGAGTCCAACAGTAGTCAGCCATCATGACTGCTTCCCAGCAACCCTGATACCTGGTCTCCATCTCTTTCATGGCCTGATGGAATCTCTCCCCCTGCTCGTCACTCATTGAACCCAGGTTCTCAGGAAACTGGTCCATATGTGAAAATAGGTAGTGCATCTTGACGCTCATGTTGCAGCTCAGGTTTCTGAAAGCAGTCAGCATGTTGTTGACAAGTTCTGCGTAGTTTCTGGCCTTATTGTTGCCAAGACAGTTCTTCACTACCAGAACAAATGCCTTCCACGCTTCCAGTTCCACTTCGTTCATTGAGTTTCCGAACTCTGGATCTCTGATGAGCTGACGGATCTGAGGACCGTCAAAAATGCCAGCTTTCAACTTCTCCATGGTCAATCCTGGAAAAGCCTGGCACAAGTAAGTGAAGCAGTCACCATCCTTGTCCAGAGCCTTGGTGAACTGCTTGATTAAGCCGAGCTTGATGTGCAGCGGTGGGAAGAGTATTCTGTCTCTGTCCACCAGAGGATCGTTGATGACGTTCCCTTTTTTGCAAGGCACCAATTCCTCCCGCACAGGCCAGTCCTTCTTCGTGTAATGCTGAGCACAGTCCCTACTATCCCACATGCACAGAAAACATGGGTACTTGGTGAAGCCAGACTGTTGTCCCAACAAAAAGTTCACCATCTTCAGGTCAACACAAATAAACCACTTATGCTGATCATAACCAATTTTCTCCAGCACATACTTCACCGCTTCATAGTTCTCCTTCAGTGTAGTCGAGTGAGCCAGGGGTATAGAGGCAAACTGGTTGCGTTGTGTAGCAGAACACATTTCAGTGATCGCTTGCTGCTGTCAATGAACAGTCTCCAATCTTTGGGTTCGTACTGTGGCACTCCAAGCTTGAGCAGAACCTGCGCAATATCTGCACAGTACACCAAGTCCTTCTCTTCCGAGAAAAAACGGAGGTACTCTTGATGCCTGTTGCGGAAGAAGCTGCTGCGAGCACTGTCAGAGAGGAGGTGTTTTTCCTTCAATCTGGATGCCAACAGTTCGGCAGAGTCCTTTGACAAGCTGAGGTCGCAAACTAGATCATTCAACTCCTTTTGGGAAAATGGATGTGGAGCATCATCTTCAAGAACCACTTCTTCTTCTTCATGTCCTTCAACACTGGAGGCATCTTCGTCACTAATGTCAGGAAGTTCTCCGAAGATAGGCACTGGAATTTCATCACAATGAGCTACAGGACGACGTGCTGATTGAAGATCAGGATACTTCGTGGGGCGGCTGCCCCATTAACTTAGTTTTGATCCCCCAACTTTATGCTTTGCCGCACCAATTTATGGAAGATTTCAAGGTTTTATGACTTCAAACTGATCCCTTTTCGACATAATCACCCAGAACTATCGGACCCAAATACTTCTTGTCATTAAAATAATCATTTCCAATCAAAACAATTATTCAACATGGCATTTTACCCCCACCAACTTCTTCTAAAATGCTCCACACAAGCGTACATGTGAACAAAAACGTAAAAAAGACATGTGGCCATAGCTCAAAAACTTGACCTGATTGAGCAAAACCAATGTGATTTTTGGATTCAGCGCATCAGATTTGTCCTAAATCAACTGAAAAAATGCAGACAACAAATTTGTTGTTGACCAATGTTAATTCCCCCCCCCCCAAAAAAAGACAGAGAAAAAAATAAA